ATTTACATTATAGCACCAATTTATAATCTTAATGTGCGCACTTAAAGTAACACATGCAAATTTGATGTGAGTCATGGTTCTCTTATGCCCTCTCTTTTGGCAAGGCATATCTTTTTTTTTTTTTTTTTAAGCATAAGTAGCCATCCCAATGGTCCCCGAATTTCTGAGAGAGGGAAAATGTAAACTAAATCCTGGAAGCCTGAGTAATGCCCACCTCACTTACAGTCAACACCCAAAAGAGCCATCGTTAACCCATTTGATGCTGAAACCTTACAAAAGTCATAAAACGCTGGAGAAAAGGAGGTTAATTCTCATATATGCCTAGAGAACTGATCTTCCATGCCTTATCAGAGAGAAAGCCACTGCTGCCAGTCAGAGTTGATGTTAGCAGGCTGGTTGGACCAAGGGGTCATATTCAATAGAAGGTGTCTTCCTATGGGTAAGCTCCATGGAACCCCATGAAACCTCCTTCTGAGTAGAACCACACTATCAGTTCATCAGAGGATGTGTGTGCAGGGATGCTCATGTTGAAGAAAAACAACAAACCTTGGTATATCTTTTTCCTTTTCCTTAAAGCCAGTTCATATGTTATTCTGAGCTCGCTGGTGTTTGGAAATACCTGCTCTTGCAGATGGTATCTTACATTAGCTTAAGGGAGCAAGGAAAAATGCGCACCAGGTACTTAATTAGCTGTACGGTTCTGATGGAGGGAAAGAGCACTGAAAGTTGCAGTGCATTTCCTGAACTTGCCATTCATTTACACATTTATTCTTTTCTTTTTGATAATGACTCCTAAGAAACTCATGGTAGGAATACAGCCTAACAAGCAAACGCAAGCTCAGAGAATAAATTGTATGGATCATGGGATATATTCTCTCTTTGTTTTCTAGGAAGGATTTTGGGTTTGCCCAGGTAATGTGTCGTTCCACTTCGAAACCAAACATTCAGTTCCATTTATCTGCATCATCGCCATTGCCATCAATCATCAGCAGCAGCATCTTCAAGAAAGTACTTACAGGAGAAGTATAAAAAGATTGTTTGGAAAGCAGAGCAGTGACGTCCTTGAACTGAGTTCCTTTCCAGATGTCAGTCACTCGGCATGTCTATTTTTCTTTCACTTGGATGGAAGCGCCTTCAGAAAACACTCCACTTTTACTTTAGTGAGGAGTTTAACGGCTTGCCCAGACATGTTAATTACTCATTTGGGTTTCTGATGAGGAATGTGCTAAACTGGGCTTTGTTCCTTTAGGGTTTTTTGGTTTCTTTTGAATCACTGGTGTTTTATCTCCCACTAAAAAGTGTCTTTCACAATTTCAGCTTCACTTGGCTGTCTGCTGGCTTTTCTCTGTTTCCATTTTGATGCAAGAACCTTCAAAGTGCAAGTAACAGAATTCTGACAACTGGTTCCAGTAACAACTTGAAATAACCGGAATCCCATGTACTCTTATGGGCAACAGCTTCTTCATGTATCACTTCCTATGTATGGTTTTAAGGATGGATATAAGCAATCATCTGGACCTTCAGCCACAGGTGCTTGGGTGCTCAGAGCAGTGAGCTGGACTCTTTTAAAGTTTCTGCTTGCATGCTCGGCTAGGTGGTAGCATCTGCATGCGGAACGCTATGCAGCTCGTTATACGAAGGGCACGTTGTCCTAACAGCTCCTGGACTTGAGTCATGATTCACAGTGGTACAGTATTTCCAGAGCCTGCATTTTGTCACAGAGCAGGACTTCGCTACGGTATCCTTGTGCCTCTTGCCAAAAGTTTGATGCTGCTCAAATTGCTTTGCTAATCTCAGAGGAATCTATATTCCTATGACTGACCCATATACTTTTATATTTTATATTTTTTATTTATTTTATATTGTTAATTTTAATTTTATATTGTTATTTTTGTATTTTATTGTGTTGTAAGCTGCCCCGAGGCTTTGGCAAGGGGCGGCATAGACATGTCCAAATAAATAAATACATAAATAAATAGGGTAACCTGGTGAAGTTATCTGTGCATTTTATCAATGGTGAGCCAGGCACTTCATAGGTGCTTGTTTAAAATGAAGCACTCGGTCCACCTTTTCACAAAGGGAAGCTCAGCGCTCTGCATCAAAGCCCTTGAGGCGAAATGAAGTGGACGCTGGCTGGAACCCCTTCCCAGTGACAGGGTAAAGGTGATGCACAAGCAGTAACACAAGCAGGACTGTGAGGTCAGCACACACATATGTGTAAGCAATATAATGAGAAGGCAGGATAAGAAGCTGGAGAGAGGCCCAGTCCAGATAAGATTTACGATTCTGCTAGATCGGAGCACAGGTAATGTTAAACGTTGCAGTAACAGGAAGTAACTTTCATAAAAGTGGTCTGGGAAGAAATGGAATATGGGGAAGGAAATTATTCTCAGATGTATGCCTCATATTTTATGGGCAACTTTTACTTCTGTCCCTGTGAACATGTAAAAACAGCTCCTCTCTGTGAACTAGGAAATAACCTATCCAAGCAATGTATGAATTCACTCTGTCCTATTTTTATATCTGTGTGTCCCTTCCACTGTCCTCCAGCCACTCCATTCCAGTTCCCATCCCCTCCAGATGTCAGCTTTCTTCCATTCTCAGTCAGTCAGCATCCCGTGTCACTCAGTCCTCTTCAGGTTGTTCGAAGGTTTTGTTATTTCAACATATTGGGAACAGAGAAATCGTTGCAAAGCATGGAATTGTGATTCTGGGGTGAGGAGAAATGTGAGCAGAGCACTTCACAAGTGGAGTTACACATGACAAGCAGGGTCAAAAGACCATTCCACGGAGGGTTCAAAACTATCCAGCTGCAGCACTGCTTGTCGATCTCACGCCGTTTTCTGCCCAGCCCTTGCAGGGTTGGAGGTGAAACTTGGGCTTCCACCTGCAAACCAAGCAGCGTCACATTCTGTTTCGTGTCCTGGCCATCCATCAACTCGATGTGCCTGCATATGGTGCAAAAAGGGCATCTGAAGGCTCATGTCCACAGCAGTCCCCATCAGGACGCAGGTTGCTGTTTGGCACAGCAGCAGTGGAGTGTGGAGGAGAGAGGGCACGCCTTCCCTTTAACCCATCAGTGGCAGGCCTGACATTTTCAGTTCCTTTCCTGCACGTCACATAAGCGGAAGTCTCCTGCTGTGTTTGAGGAAGCTCTGGAGTCCCGTGGGAGAAGGATCACTTGGGTGGCCTGGCAGGCAGCCAAGTACAACTTGTTCTGAAATGCCATCTCTCTGAGAAGTTGCATTGTCAACCGAAACACAATGTCCATTTAATGGGAGATAGTCCAGACTGTTGATTAGCTGGGTTTTCACTGAGCAGCATATCCTCTGGGGCATGAGGGGATGCATCTATTTACAACAGTGAAACCCCATCTTTCTTCCGGGAGCTCAGAGTGTTGTGCATGGTCCTTCCCTGCTTCTCCTCTTTTCTTCACAATAACCCCCTGAAATAGGTCAAGCTGAGAGACTGGGGCAAGGGCATCCAAGATCAGGGCTTGCTGGGATCTGGAGATATCGGCCCCATGTTATGAGCAGTGGCATATCCGGTGTCCCAGGAGTGACTCCACCCATTTGGGATCCTCTGTGACAGAAAGGTGTGCCTTGTTCCATCTGAGCTTCCCAGGGCTTTGGCAAGCTCCTGTTCATTGGATGTTCTCCATTCCTGACTCCTGGCTTGCTCCTTGTCCCAACCTGTTGGTTTGTCCTGCAGTTCTGGCTTATTCTCTGGCCCTGACTACCACCTTTGTCCCACAGTTCCTGGTTCTAGGCTGACCTCCAGAGTGGCCAAACAGAGCACATCCACCATCTTGAATGGCTGCCCAGTCAAGTCCAGCTGAAGGATAGGGAGCAGGCAAAAGTCCTTGGGAGGGGAGGGAGAGCAAACTGAAGCAGGTAAATTCATGGTCCGAATTCTGGCCAATGGATTTTGGACACAGGTTGATCTCCAGGTCTTTCCACGCTATACCGGATACAGTGTGATATAAAGGTCTTGACATAGACAAGCTGTTGAAATTAAGAACTAGATCCAAGTTTCACCGGCACATAGACTTCTGCTACAGCTTCTGCTGTCGCCCAGCTTTGCACGGAGAGGGTAGAACATAAAGGAGCCGAAGGTATTTTAAAGGATCCAGTTGGCATGGAAACCAATTTTTCCCCTTAACAACAACTTCCTCAACTATCCAATCCAACATTAAGTTGTGATTTAAAACAGCCTTGTGAAGAGGTGCAAGAAGAGAAGTGGTTGTTGGGCTTTTAAAAAACACCCTCCCCAACGAACCTTTGTTCCTAGTGAGTCTTCTCATCACAAACAATTGCCGTGATTTTGCTGGCTTATAAACAGGTTTCATGACTCTTGAGAGAGTTATTGAACCCATAAAGCTAAGAGGGACTGGAAGGTATTACATTCCCTTTCTTATGTCAATTATGTTCTGACTACATCATAATAATTCATGGTTAAGATATGAAGAAGGCAAGTCTGGGGGATAATTTTAAAATGATATTTGGTGCTTGAATGCAGAATGCAACATTACCAATGCTTGATTGTGTGTGTGTGTGTGTGTGTGTGTGTGTGTGTGTGTGTGAGAGAGAGAGAGAGAGAGAGAGAGAGAGAGAGAGAGAGAGAGAGAGAGAGAGGGAGCACTTTCCTCCCCTTTCCAGCCTGCCCAGTCAGGGGGTCATCAGGTGAAGTTTCCACATGGAGCTGTGGTCCATTTGGGGTCCATTCAGGGTAGGGTTAGGGTCCAGCATTCCTCTCTGTCAATCTTCCTCCCTGCCGATGGTGCCATTTTCTTTTCAGTGCCTTCTGAAGACAGTTTTATTTAAACCTGCCTTAAACCAACGCAATTGACATAGCAGAATTTAAAATATTTTAATTCTGTGTTTTGCTTCTTTTTTCTGTCTTTCATCGCTGACCACTTCAGGGATCTTGTTCGATACAGAGTTGCATATAAATAAAACCACACACACACACACACACACACACACACACACACACACACTCACTCTTACAGCTTAAATTCAGGCATTTGAATGCTACATTTTTGTAAGCACAAAACCAAAGCCCTACAGCTCCCAGGCACTCTGCGCATGCTCGCTGGGGAATACTGGGCGATACCGAGAATACTGTTAATGCAGAGCTGAGCACAGGGCCTGGCTGCCACTCACGATATTCCACCTCTTCGACTGACAGAGCAGCCATTTTCTTCTCCCCATGGGAACTTGAGTTCTGCGGGGACAGAGTTGTTTGGTATTTCTTGTATTTGTTAAGTTTATATCCCTCCCTTCCACCAAGAATGGCATTCATGATGGCCTTCAAGGTGTATGTTGAAGAGCTAGTCTGGAGACTGAGACTGCAGGCTGAATACAAATGAATAAAGCACTCTGCTGCCTGTGGAAAGGTGAGCAGAGAGGAGAGCCAGGTGGGTGGCTCTTGGGACCATAGCTTGGTTGCAGAGTGTATGTCTGCAGGCATCTGCAGGGAGGATGAAGAGGTAGGATGCCCCCGAAGAGCTGCAGGCACCCAGTGTTGGCAGCTAGAAAGACCAATGAGCTAACTCGGCATATGGGCCGACTTCCTATGTACTTATGAGAGGCTGTTCCAAATTACGGATGCCATTATCAAAAAGGACCTGTCTACCTGATGGCAGAGGAACTCAAAAAAGGTGGCAAACATGGAAGAGATGCCCAAGCTGGTTCACATTGGGGAAGATGATTTTTAAGTGGCTCCAGTACTTTAAAAACGTAAAGGTCAAAGCCAGTGTGGTGCGGTGGTTAGAGAGTTGGACCAGGACTCTGAAGAGCTGGGTTTGAGTCCTCAATCAGTCATGAAGCTCAAGACAGATGGTAGAAGATCAGCATGATCTCACCAGTTAAACTGGATCTACTCAAAACTCCAGCAGCTACACCTTTTTACTTACTGAGATCTCAGACCGTCTTCCAAGACAGCCTTCAAAACCAGTATAAGCTGAATAAGATACAGTGACACAGTGAGGTTATCAAGGCTGAACCCCACAGGTCAGATCTGGCCTACCTGGGGGCTTCAAGGTTCCCCATTGAGCCCTCCCTGTGTCTGGCAACCAAAAGGGTTTCCGGCCTTGCCTTAATTCAATTCACTTTAATTTAATTTGCCTTTTTCCTGCACTCACTGCTGGGACTGACCTGGTTCTGGCAAGCAGATGGAGCCGCTGAACAATCTGGACCCTGGCACAGGCTGTCCATCTGTCCTCAAAGCCACTCCCCACTATTGTGCGTGTGAGGTGCTTTTGACACATTCTCTGCTGGGCACGCTGTAAGAGGGAATCAGATTAACTCGTTTTACAAATAACAGTAGAACTTCTGACCGCGTCCTGAAAATATGGCAGGAAAAGAAAAGAAGCATGCATTCCTATCCACAGTGTTTTTCTTCTACAAGGTTATTCTTCACTGTATGTTTTTAGATGTTTCTGATTTCTTGTGTTTCTTATCGTATTATTTTTGTGCATTGTTGTAAGCCATCTAGAGAGCTTTGGTTATTCGGCAGTCTAGAAATGAAATCATAGTACTTATGATAATGAAGGGATGGTGTTGGGGTGAGGAATCCTTCCTGATGATTCAAGAAGATGCAGATCTTATTGTAGGTTAAGCTTACAGTGGGAAAATAAGCACATATATTGTGGTGAAGAAGTTAAATTCTTATCCCTTCCGATTTTTAATACAGGCCATAACAGAATATTATTTCCCAGGCTGCAGGGCCAAAGCTTCTGGAATCAGTTTTATATGGTGTGTTGTAAAAGGGCCGATCGTTGATATTTCAGCAGCCCCGTGGTCATATATCACTTGCAGAGTCTCCCACAACAGCGATGACTTCCAGAATCATAAAGTATGATATATGGAGAACTTTTAACACAGTGGTCTAACAACTTGCCCTGGAGAAGCTAGGGGAGTTCTTTGTGGACTACTACAAGGTTTTGCTCCTGGGTGTCTCAATCGTAAAGCTTTTCCTATGCATGACAATTTGAGGTTCCCTCTTGGGAAAGGTTCCCAGTTCCGACATTTGAGCAAGACTGTCAACCCTGAGCCCGCAAGAAGCAAGCAGGTAGGTAGCTCTGTTGGACTTTGCCACCTAGTGGCAAGCAAGGGGAATTGTAGTTCCTGTTTGCCTGCAGTCCCTGTTTGCTTCCTCTGATGCAGAGTTGCAAGTCTGCAGAGCCTCTGACCAGAGACGTGGGGAGGAGCCTGGGAGAAGGGGGCGGTGCTTGACAACAGGAGGGTGCCAGGGTCTAGTGGGGAAATCTATGCATCTGGTAGTTCAGCCTGGGCATCAGCATGTAGCATGGACCCTTTGGAAGGCATCGTCACCCATGTAAACTATGGGATGTGCTGCCTCCAGAACAATGCTTGGTCTCACTCTATGAAAGGGCATGAAGACGCATCAGCATAAAAGAGGGCCAGACGGGACGGTGATTGCTAACAGAACTCCCTGCTTATGCTAATGTATATATATAGATGCAAATATTGAAATAACTGTTACACTTTAAATAGAAGAACGGTCCATCTCATCATCACGGAGAAGCTTGTTGATGGCTGATCTGTATGCCTTCCCATTCTGTCTGCTGCCCACATCGCTCCATGGGCAACTTGAAGGCCCTTCATCTTTAAACTGGGCTTAGGTTGGGCTGCCGTGGCAACAGAGAACTGCCTTCTGTAAAAGAGGACACATGGCCACTCAAATATGCTTCCCAGAGAGTGCCTACTTTGCTATCTTATGAATATTAGGGGAAGACTTTTAACCGTTTCTTACTTGTCTTTTCTGCTTTGAAACATGGTGCTAGAGGAGAGTTTTGTGAACACCCCAAACCAACAAACAGGTGGGTCCCAGATCAAATCAAGGTAGGGTTTACCCTGGAACACTGAGCTGTCCTTCTTTGGGCACATCATGAAAAGGCAAGACTCACTGGAGAAGACAATCGTGTTAGGGAAAGTTGAAGGCAGAATAGGAAAGGGAGACCAAAGATGAGATGGACTGACTCCATAAAAGGAGCCACAGCCTTGAACTTAAAACAACTGAGCAGAGCTGTCATGGACAGGATATTTTAGAAGGCTTTCATCCATGGGGCTCCCATACATCAGAGGTGACATAACAACAGCAAGAACAGCAACATTGTCTATTTTTATTTTGATGCTGTATTGTTTCTATTGTTGTTTTCTTCCTGACGGTTAGGGCCCCGAGGGTGTGGAATGGGCTTCCACGGGGGGTGCTTGAGGCCCCATTGGTGAAGGTGTTCAAGGACAGGCTGGACGTGCATATGGTGGGCATGTCATGAGCAGAGGTGGCTGAAGCTGGGGGTCAGACTAGATGGCCCCTTCCGATGCACTCTGTTGGTATGTTTCCTATTGTGAACTGGCCTGAGAACTGGCTGAAAGTCATTATATAAATGCTGCTTTTATTGCAGATCCTTTCATAATCTCTTTAAACAAAAACAACACAGAGAGAGACAAGAAACTGGTAAGCACTGCAGAATGTGCCAGAAAAAAGACACAAGGTCTTAAGGCAGGTGATACCTTGGAGGGATGCAAGGTGCTGTTCCTAAATTTTCCTATCTCGTTCATGCCAGTGGGGTCTCATCCACCTGGAGTTATACTTCGTTCTGTGTCCCACCTGCCAGGACTGGATTTCCTTTTGCTCAGCAAAGCCATTCCACAGAGCTAGATAAATGGTCTCACCCATCTATATGGTATTCATCATAAGGAACTGCCTCCAAGCTGTATATTTGCATGTCTTGTGATTATTGTTATTTTTTTTCAAAAAAGTGCATATTCATCATGACACAGCATTAAGCGAAAAGCTTCATTTCTGAAAAATACACAGAGCTGTGTTTCTGTAATTGCTGGTTTTGCTGAGTCACTGAGACCTTTTTGCTGGCCAGTGTTTCTGAAAAGGGAAGCTGTTTCAAGTTATATACCATCCCTGTTGTTTCAGCACTTTGGTGGTGAGCTGGTGAGTTTGGGGGCAGGACAGAAGGCTAGTCCGTGTTCTAGAATGCCAGGCATAGATTTATTGGGGAAATTGCAGGTAAATGTCCCACAAGGACCACTAGCTGGGTGGGGAACTTCAGCCCCAGAGTCCAAGCCAGCCCTGTGTTGGTGGTTCTTCCACCTTTCCGGAACCACCCTATCTATAAAGTATCAGTCCTTTAGGACTGCACTCTAAGGAAGAAAGAAGGAAATGGAAGTTGTTTCCATTGTGGAATACACTCCAGGTTAGTTCGCAAGCTGGTTCTGGGTCCCCAGTCATTGACGATCAATATATGAATTATTAATTCATAAGAATTATGGCCAGGAATTAATATGAATTATAGTCAGGTAAATGGAGTAGAAATGGCTACATGGTACTTTAGAAAGATGAAGAGAGAACCTGGCCACCACTCCTCTTTGACCCACCAAGCATTTCCCATTTTCACTTTTCTCCAAGCTTGTAAGACTGTTGAATGATTCTTTGTTTATGTTGATTCTTCCACACAACCATGGAAACTAAAACCAGAGGAACATATTTAGTGCTTTTCAAAGATAACTTGAATGAAAGCCCCCACCCCGCCCGACTGCACCAGAACAAGAAGTCTGCAGTGAAAATAGATAACAAAATGTAAAAGAATAAACAGCCATAACTTAAAAAGAAAAAAAATCATTCAACAGAGATGATGGCATGGTAACAACCTATACGCTTCAAAGGTGGGCAGACGGATGGGATGAATGGTTAATAATAGCCGTTACTTTGCACATTCTGTTGCGAGTGCCAAGGGAGGTTTTGTTCTTTTAAATTATGGTTTGTGTGCATGTCTTTTTAACTTTTGTTTAGTTTTAACTTTTGTTAATCGCCCAGAGAGCCTTGGTTATTAGATGATAAAAAGTGAATTAAATAAATAAATAGAAATTCAAGGCCCTTTCCTGTTCTCCCTTCTTAGGATTCTTTATCCTTGAACTGGGCTTTGATTGGCCAGCCTTTCAAACTAGAAGGGGCCTTCCAAGAGAGGACTGACCTCTGTCAATGAGGACATATGTCCAGCCACCCTGAGTGTGGGGGGTGGAGAGGCTCAGCCTGTGGGCAATTCCCATGGAATTGCTGTCTCTCATGGCAGGAGGTCAGTTCCATGGCCAAGAGCTGATCTGTCTATTCCCATTCACGTGGGTGCTCATTTAAACATCTCCGCCGCATGGTCTCTCCCGAGGGGCTCTGTAAGTGTCCAAAGGGCCCCATGACTCTGTCCAAAGGCTCCAGAGTCATTCCATGGCTTTGCACCGAGAAGCTCTGAAGCCTGTGTATGATCTTTGGTGTGTTTTATATAAGGCCTTCCAAGTCCTAACATCTCTTGCAAGTGACGTCACCTGGCCCAGGCACACTCTGCTTGCCTTCATGCTGTGGCCATGTTCCCCCTGAACAATTTCTGTACATGGCATCAAGGGAGGTGGCAAAAGCAGAGAAAAGAGCGTTGTGGCAGATACAGCGAGGAGAAAGTGGTCAGGAGACGAACAGGAACTTTGATGGGGAAGGAAAATGTAGCCCTTTATGTTCATGGGTCATGAGTTGCTCTGTTTATCCTTATTTTCTGAACCTGTTCCTAATAAAACACGGCCCCTATATTTTTCCTTTGTTAAGAAGTTGTCAGTCTGCACTGCTAAACTTATTCTTTAAGATGCAGCTACCTCTTCAAGCTCTTCAAAAGAGAAACACTCGGGGCTAGGAGAGGATTCATCCGTGTGATGATCATGAATGGTCCAAGGGTCTCCAAAATAAGAATCTGGATGCAGACCAAGCTTAGCAGACGAAAAGGTCTGATCTCCTAGTTCTTTCCTTGTAGGCAGGCACAAACAGCCTTCTGCTCTTCCTTCCACAGGTCCCCTTGTCCTTCCCATCCTGCAAAGTCCTGGGGTCCCTCTCCCATTTTCAGGTCAGTGGGCATGTTTGGAAAGCTGTAGACACTCTCCACAAATGGCGGCCTTGGGAACTGGGACCTGCCCGCTCCAACAGTGACTGTCATCATGGGTCCTATGGTCCCAGAACACTCATTTCCCAGAAGTCATGGTCCCCGTATGGAAGGAAAAAGAGCTTGCCGGGAAAGTGAAGAACCAGGAAGAAGTGTAGCCCTGAGATCTTCCATGTAAGCCCACTCTTCTCACTCTGAAGGGGTGCTGTTTCGGGGCTTTGCAGCAAGCTGGCCCCTCAGTTATATTTCCCAGGTAAATTTTGTTCCTTTAACATCTTAGAAACAATACTAATAAAAAGCTGTCTGGTGGGTGCACAAGCTGCCCTTTGGAGTACCCAGGACTGATCTGTGATTAACCCCTGGATTTCTGAAATGCCAGCTTTCATCAAGGGATGGATTGGGACAAGGTGCGGTGTTTGGTCTGCCTGAACTTTCAGAGATTCCTTTGTGCAGTGCAGGGGGAGGACCTCCCAAATGCAGGGGGAAGGGGCAGTTCAGGTGCGTGGGGCAGATTTAGGGTAGGGAAATGAACAGATGCTCACAAATACTAGGGTAGCGTTCTGCTTTTCTCTTTAGTTTAAGGAGTCATACCGTGATTTCCGGTTGTAACCAGGCATGGAGACAGGCCATCCGGCAGCAGTGGTTCTGAAATGCAAACACACAGAGCAGTTTTCCTTTCCTTCTGGCCTTCTGCACATATCATGATCCCAGGGCTGTGCCACACTGCCCATCTCTCCACGGAGTCGCAACTTGAATCGGATCAAATCTATATTTGCATCATCCACAGACAGGAACAGCCACTGAAATGGCCCTAATTACTTCCTAAAATGTATATTAAGTAAAAACACCAAAATCATTATCCTTTACACATACATGGAATAAACAAAATTTCTTAATCTATCGGAACTATGAAAATCGGGGCTTTGGCGAAACAGTGGATCTTATTTTAATAGCACCATCTCATGTCATGTGGAATATTTAAAAAAATGAGGCCTTTGAAATTCTAGCAATACATGCATAGACATGAATAATCAAACTGGAGCTGACAGAGAGTTAGGTCATTTCCCCCTCTCACCATTATCATTAATAATGTTTAGTCATTCGTTTTTGTGTCACCATGACATTTTAGTTTTTTAGGCTCTATAGAGACAAGCTGCATCCAATCGTGCTCTCAAGTTTATGATAGTTTACTGTATTGTGAAACATAAGACTGGGGGTGCATGCAGGAAAGCTTGCAGAGCGACTACAAAGGCACGCCTGGATGCACACGCATCGGAGAGTTGGGCCTGCCCTGGGTGCTTCCCAGGGTTCACCTGCAGTTCTGAACCCTCGCAGTCTCCCACACGTCCCTGGGCCTCTTTGCACGGGGATCAGACGTGCAGCAAACATCGGAAAAGAGCCACACAAGGGACTGCAGCAACTTCTCTGTTAGGAGAGGTTGAAACATCTGGGACTGTTTAGCTTAGAAACAAAGGCAAGTAAAGGGAGGCACGATAGAGATGTGGAAAGATAACCATGGTCTGGAGGAAGAAGATCGGGAGACGTTTTGCTCCCTTTCTTATAAGACATCCCATCAGGATGACTCAGGAGAGAGGAAGGAAAATATTCCTTCACATAGTACTGTGTCTGTTGCAGTATTTGTGATCAAAAGATGTTGGGATGTCCACCAACTTGAATGTCTGTATAACTGGATTAGGTATGTTCATGGAGGATGGGGCTGCTAGTCCTCATGACTACCTATCCCCTCCAGGATCACGTATGGTTTTTGGGGGATTCACCATAGCACTCATGCCCTGGTTGTGGGCAATCTGGCTGGCCGCTGTGGAGAAAAATGGTGGCTTAGGTAGTCTTCGCTCTGATTCAGCAGGGCTTTTCTGTGCTTATGGGAGGGTTGCAAATGGATATCAGGAACCCTGTGAAATGATGCAGTGGGAGGCAGTGTGGATGCACAAGCCTCCTCTGGAAGGATCCTAAGTATTTTGGAGCATCCCTGCCAACCCAAGCAGAAAATACTGCACTAGATGGACTAAAGACAGTTTCAAGGACATAACAAGATAACTTCATCTCTTGATGACCAAAGACTGTCTCTTGGATACCAAGGATCTGTTGCAAAACAAAAACAAACGGTGCCGGTTTTTTGATTAATTTTTATATTCCAAAATATTTGCAGCAGTATTATCAGGAGATGAACCGGCACCTTTGCTTCTTTGTTTAGACTATTAAACCACATAATGCTTTGTAATGGAAAATCATTACATTATTCCAACACTGGTTTTCAAGCTCAGCTCTTACCGTCAATCAGGAACAAAATAACAGCTGAAAAACAAACACAATTGAAGGGTAATAGCTTTAACACCCTGATAATTTAGATTCCTGTCAGGTTAATGAGCACTTGAATATGGGATGGCATTGTTTTCTTCTAGGTGTGACTAGTCCACATGATGACTTCACCTCTTAAACTTCCTAATGAGGAGAGTTTTCATAAAAAGAAAAGTTTTTCCAAGCCATTTTCAGCTTAACGAAATTATAAGTGAGGAATGTAGTTGGTTCCATGTTATTACAGCAACAACTGTGGGGAGCTGGCTGGATTAATGTCAGATACAATTCATTCTTTGAAAGCCTGGGGGGTTGATAGGGATCAGGCTCGGGTTTTTTAAAACCTCTGGACTTTTTAGGCCCTAAAATGTAGGGAAACAAGTTGATGCAATGTGCCACAATTTTCCATTCGCTAGAAAATTGTGAAATACGCTGGCTAAAGAACATGGTCTTAAACCAGGCTTCCCCAAGAGGGCATTCTTGAAGTGGGTTGGATTACATCCCCCATCACCTCCAGCCAGCAAAACCCATGGTGGCTGGGGATGTTGGAAATTTAGTCCAGTACATTGACTCAGGAAAGGCTGCCCTAAATGTTCTGGGACCCAGCGAACTCAAAAACGTGCCACCTTCTTGTTCTTCCATATATGCTTTAGAAACTGAGCTCTTTATACTGGGCTAACTCACTCAAACCAGGTTGTTCTTTTGATTTGTAGGTTTAGGGCCATTAGGAACCTGGGTCCATTTGCAAATTAATTTTCTGATTCTCTGGCTGGGCCTTTTGGGAGTACTGAACAGGGTTGTCAGTTGATAGGTAGAGCTTGGAGGGCTTCCATTCATGGGGTCAGGTACATCTTGGAGGGCTTCCATTCATGGGGTCAGGTACATCTTGGAGGGCTTCCAGGTATATCTTGGAGGGCTTCCATTCATGAGGTCACCATAAGGCAGGATGACTTGATGGCACAAAATTATGAATACTGGTACTGTGAGCATTGAGTTGGGCCTCATGTCTCCAAAATGTATAGAAGAACTGACAAACTCTGAGGATAAGGAACACTATCTAAACCAGATGTTCTCCAGATGTGTGGGACTACAAATCCCACCTTTCCCAGCCAGCATGGCCCTGGAGGAATTCTGATCTAAAGGAAAGGCATCTGGCATTGGCCTATGCCCTCTTGCCCTGGCTGGCTGTGAAAACAATCCAGGCAGCCTGAAGCATTGGGAGCTTAAATGCTGGGCCCTGAAGGATGCTCATGGCCGCCGACCACTCTTCATGGAGCAAGCCCAGCAAAATAATGGCTGTGGCTCTTGGCACATTGATACATTGACCATGTGCTTACACTGTGCTTCTGTCAGTGGAGTTACTATGGACACATGGGAACTTGAGATGCAGCAAAGGAAAAAATATGGGGGAAAAAATATGGGAGTAGACGGAGGGTCTTTCCCATTCTTGCTGGCAGAACATTGTCTGCTGTATCTAGGGAAGACCAAGCAGATAAGCAAAGCAGAGCAAGGAGGAAACCGAGACTCTCCGGAAGCCTTATTTTATCTCCTTAAATATCTTAGATTTCTGAAAGGGGCAACAGGGATTTCCTAAATGGCTTTGTTGCAAATCTGTTGGTGCATGCTCAATTTTTTCTGGTGCATTGTGGCCATGCGTGTGCGCGCACTCATGCGTGTGTGCGCGCACTTGTGTGAATGTAGCCATTTAAATCACCTCCCACTATGTCCAGCTCCAGGTCAAGACAGGAAGGCAAATACACTACTTTTCATCATGGAAGGCAGGAGTCCAAGAGCATCTCGCAGAGGAAGAGAGCCACCTTATCAGTCCTTCCGCTCCATTGATAAAAACCGCAGAAGGAAATCATTCAGCTTTCAGCGAGGAAAGGGAAGTCTTAAATGAAAATTAGAAATTGCCTGGGGAGCTTTCAACTGAACAGAAATTACACATGCAAAGCCGAAAGCTTTCAACTCTGCATCGTGTGAGATCGCAGCTTGCAGTGTTCCATGCAGCTCTCTGCTAGTAGATGGGATGATATTTCTGACTTGTTTGCCAAGGTGGTCACGGGACTGAATCTCCTGAACCTTGTGTCCCCATGAGCACTGCTTGGGAGACAGAAGGCGATCCATTTGACCCTTAAAAGGCACGCCAGATACTTTGATTGCTTGACTGTTTGCTTGATAGTAGGTAGGTCTGTGCTTGCTCTCCAAGCACGTTCGTAAATTAAGCCTATGCGAAGAAGAGTCCATACGACTCTAGTTCTCCTCCTCTCTCTGTCTCTCATCTGAAGGAAACTAACCCAGAGCATTGCTGTCCTTGGGAATTTCCAGCAGCTTTGGAGCAGCCTACCCCAGCCTCGTGCTTTCCACAAGTGTTGGACTACAACTCCCATCATTCAAAGCCAACACAGCCCCTGGCCAACTTTGCTGGGAAGACAGGGAGCTGTGGTCTGACACATCGGGAGAGCGTCAGGCTGGGGAAAGCTGCTCTGGAGAGTGGTGTCCGTCCGTCCAACAATGAACTGGTTGTGTGAATCATGAAAAGGCGATTCTATAAATATGCACACACTGTGAAATGGCGGAGTGATTCTAACCTGAAAGACCAAGCCAAGCCAAAATTAGCTTAGAGTCAGAGTGACATGTGCTTCCTTTTGGCGGGTGTGTTTGCCGTGGTTGTGCGCTGATTTCAGGCCAGGAGTTTCTCCAGATGCAGAGTCTCCTTCCCTCACCTGGGATGCACCAGGTGCTTGTCCTGGGAAGGGGGCACCAGGTCTGACTAGGCTGAGGGCCGCCTGCACAGTGCAGGAGAGACTGGCTCTGATCCCACAGTTCTTGCCAGCAACCGTGTGGTGGCCTGGCCGAAGTTTCTGGATGCTTGTCAGTCCAACAAGAAGCATGTTGCTGGAAGTGCAGCCAGGTCTGGTGAGCCAAAAGGCTCCCTTGGCCCAGAAATAAACGCCGGAACATAACGCCTTGCATGCTTCATAGCAATGGCGAGTGCTTGACATGCTGATCGGAACTTCTCGGGAGAGGATAATCGACACGCACAGAGAGTTACATGCACTGCAAAAGAACTGATCCACAGTGGTTCTAGGTAGCATTAGCGATCATGGAGTTGGGAGGAGAAAAGGAAGATGGGGTGTCTCACCATAACGGAAGACAAAAGAGGGTGGCTGCTTGCATGCATGCCCATTTGGAAATAAAGCCAGTGATTTAAACAGAAGTACTACACATCTCTTGGACCGCAAGGCGATCAAACCAGTCAGTCCTAGAGGAGATCAACCCTGACTGCTCTTTAGAGGGCCAGATACTGAAGATGAGACTCAAATACTTTGGCCACCTAATGAGAAGGAAGGACTCCCTGGAGAAGAGCCTAATGCTGGGAACAATTGAGGGCAAAAGAAGAAGGGGATGGCCGATAATGAGGTGGCTGGATGGGGTCACTGAAGCAGTTGGTGTGGACTTGGGTGGACTCTGGGGGATGGTGGAGGACAGGAAGGCCTGGAGGAATGTTGTCCATGGGGTCACGATGGGTCGGACGTGACTTCGCGACTGACAACAACTACACATCTCACCATGGTGAGGAAAGACCAGAGGACCTG